ATAAAAGGAATTGTAGAAATACTTCCGGATGTAAAAACAGCATAAGATATGTAAAAACAGCATGAGATAGATGGTTAGGATATGGGATGGAGAGAGATTTTGTGTGTGTGTGTGTGTGTGTGTGTGTGTGTGTGTGTGTGTGTGTGTGTGTGTGTGTGTGTGTGTGTGTGTGTGTGTGTGTGTGTGCGTCTCTGTGTGTGTGTGTCTGTGCGTGCGTCTGTATGTGTGTGTGTGTGTTTGTGTGTAGAAAAGCAAAAAGGTGTCATTTTCTTTTTTCGTTTTAAGAATGCTAGCTGCAAAAACTAAGTCTCCAGCTAGTCTCCTAAAATTGGTCAAAGTGAAAGAAGAAAATCACATAATTACAAAAATAAAGGAAAACCAACCAATTCTGTTGTAATGAAACGACTGAAGAAAGAAAAAAAAATATTGTTAGTCATTTATGATATTTTCGGCAATTTGCATTGAGACGCACTTGTCATAGTTTTGCTGTCGCTGAAAACTCTTTCGTAAAAAGCGAAAACAATGCCGATGTTTCATTCTTGTGCAAAGTCAAAGGCATAATAGGATATAATTAATGAGCCTCCCCAACCCAGTTCTACTACACCCGAAACTCAAGAGTGCATTTAGTATTGTATATGTCACCGAAGACAACTCGAAACAAGACCTTTCATTTTTTTGTGTGCTTGTTAACTTTGTTTACGAAATAAAGACAGTTATGTATATTTTCGAAATATAGCTTAATCTAAGGCTTAACATTGGCAAATGGAAGTAGGATAATTGTACATGCCAGACAGACAACTTGGAATACTGGCGCAAAGTAATCTTCCTAACTTTATTTTCCTAACCTGATTTCTTGCTAGAGTAAACTATTGTATAGCTCTATTTACATCAAGATATATGAATAATAAAGAACCTCACTCTATCCAACTTTATTCATTCCAAAGTTTTTACCATGGCTCTCTTTCTCTCTCTCTCTCTCTCTCTCTCTCTATATATATATATATATATATATATATATATATATATATATATATATATATATATAATTTCTTCTAAAATATCATGTAATATATATATATATGTGTGTGTGTGAGTGTATGTGTATGTGAGTGTGTGTATGCGTCCGCATATTTCTAAAGAATTAATTGATTTTATTTTTAATCCAACATATTTATTATTACTTCAAAGGTTATTTTTAGTGGATGCCCGTATTTGAGTAGACGTTTATTTTTAAAAAGTATTATATTTCCGTTTACCTGCAGGATTCGTAGAAGCATAAGCTCAACGTATCAAATGCAGTTCTCTCCTGTAAAGGGGGACGCGAGTTCGATTCCTGCTGGAGGGTATATTAAGTTTTCTTGCGTCAATTTGACCTCAATTTGATTCACTTCAGGTCAAGGTAATGGTACGCTATTCCGGCATAATACTACATATAAACGCTGTAGTAAAAGTTAAACACTGTTACAACTTTTGTTAGCCTTGAAGGGACGAATAAAAATTATCCGCGAACAAATTATGGAGGTTATTTTTTAAACTTGATTTACATCATTGTCATGATCGAGGTTTTTGTTAAGTCTATTTTATTTATTTTTATTTTTTTTTTTTTTTATTATTCTTGTTTTGGAAATAAAACATGTAGATATTATCGTGTCACGCGCTCAGCATGAAAAACTATAAATGACGATACGAATAAAGATATTAGTTCGACCCTTCTGAAGAAACATAAAATATTTGAAGAGTCTAGCTCCGCAATTTCTTACAGCAAAAATTATTGACAACTTTCGCCAGGAACGCTAATATACGACACAAAAATAAAACAAAGTTCACGCATAAGTGTCTCCAGATGCATGCAGGTGTTTTGCAAATATTAAGACAAATGGAACATGTGGCTGAGGTAAAATACTCGAGTAGTTGACGATCAATTGCCACATGTTCCCGCGAATGGACATCAAGGCCTGCTTTTCTGCTTGCAACAAACCTACAGTTGCAGGTAAGGCTATTATTGAGAAGAAGCAACCTTCTTTAATATTTCCATGCAGCTGATCTCGATGTTCAAATCGCTTTCGCATAAATGAGAAGCAGGACAGGACAGGCGCCATCTCCTTTTCTGTGACTCTTTGTTTTCTCATGAAGAAAAGATGATGATGCATCGTTTCAGACTGTCTTTTTTGTCTTTGTAACGCAAGAGTGACCGTCCAAAGTTGTTTTCTAAGTTTGCTGCCGCTCATACGCAAAAGATGTTCTGCCCACCTGAGTTGGATTTTCATTAGGATGGCTTCAATACCTGTCATTTTTATATTTAGTCAGAACACCACTGTTTCTAATGCGATCACCGAGTTTTCTGTTGCAGTTCGTACGTAGGCAATGCTTGTAAAAGGTATCAATTTGATTGAAACGTCGTCGGTAAAGAGTCCAAGATTCTGCACCAAATTAAGGATGTCAGTATTAATGACTTGTACACACCAATATATATATATATATATATATATATATATATATATATATATGTATATATATATATATATATATATATATATAGAGAGAGATAATAAAGTTATTTTTTTTTTATATCCCACAGGAGTAAAAATATGTAGAAAAAAGGAGTTAAAAATGAAATTGAAGTCTTTGAGAATATTTATTTAGTTTCTTAACCGGTTTCAGAGTTCTATGATTTTCAAAAGTTAAATTCAGATGGAGTGCGGTGTCTCTCTGCCATTATATGTTTCGCATCTTGATGCGAAAAAGTTTTCCCTCATTTTCTTATATCTATCTATCTATCTATCTATCTATCTATCTCTATATATATATGTGTGTGTGTTTGTGTTTGTGTGTGTGTCTGCGTGTGTGTTTGTGTGTGTGTGTTTGTGTTTGTGTGTGTGTGTGTGTGTTTGTGTGTGTGTATTGAACGTAAAATGTAACAATCAAAAAAATTGGAAACTGCTTTTCAGTAAAAATCTCTTTGTGCAGGAGAGTGCAAGTCTGGATTCAATAAATGCAAGCATTGTTAAAACAGTCCAAACTGAATCCATTATATTGGAAATCTGTAAATATAGCGCAGAAAAATTGTGATACAACTAGTAATAAATCCATTAAGTCACTTCTTTTTTATAGTACACCAATTAAAATTGAAATGGTCAGCAGTGTTGTTAAATGCTTAGAATTTATTTATTGGTAATCCTTTGCAATGGAGTCTTGGTTTGCGTCATGCAAATGAATTACGATTCAGACATGTTTAAGATTACTATTAAGTTTGTTTTTGCAATTGACAAAATTAAGTGAGCCAATAAAAAGTCAATTACATGAGGACTTAACAAAAAGAAAAAAAAATATTGATTTTTCTCCTCTTAAGGAAAGTCTTGAGGTCATTTCATCTCAAGTGACACAAGAATTAAGTGAAGATCAATGAATATTTATATGACCAGAATAAAAAAAATAACATGTCTTGATCGAGTTAAATAATATCAAAAGCAATATTTATACAACCGGAATGATGACATGTGTCTGGATCCAGTTTACATAAATAATGTCAAAAGGTGATATTTATACAACCGGAATGAAAATCCATGTCTGGATCCAGTAAAACGAAATAACATCAAAAAGCGATATTTATTTGAGCGGAATGATGACACATGTCTGGATCCATTTTGTTTGAATTTTGTCAAAAGAAGATATATGACCGGAATCATGTCAGCTCCAGTTAAGGTCATTGTTTTGAAAAGGCGAAATTTATATGACCGAAATGATAACAAATGTTTGGATCTAGTTAATTTAAATAGAGTACAAGTATGATATTGAAATCAAATCTATTAAGAGTTTGAATTATCGATAGTTTCTGTATAAATCTGATATAGTTTCTCTGGAGTAAACGGAATTTTCCCAGCCAAGACACGCTTCAAATATTAGAACTCTGAATTAAGCGAACATCACCGATATTTATACGACTGAAACGAAAGTTTCTGTGTGGATTCAGTTAATGCACTGACCATTTTTTTTTAATTTGTGCTTTCGCATATTGTTCTGGACATTATTAAGGTCTTAGAAGAATTGGTTTCGTTTTTTTCAATTTTAGTTTTGGTATCATAGCATTTGTGCCTCATGCAATAGTCGAGTCGATCAACAAGGGATACTGTTCCCTGTAGTAAATGTATCCATGAGTTTTTGACTAATTTTAAAAGTCACATTATAATATGTAATCTACGCTACATAAGCGTTTCTTCAATATCGTAACTGATTTTTAAAATGTATTTAAGAACCAATAATTAAAAACCCAATACTTACCAGTCATTATACGTCTGTTAATCGTTGCGATGTAAAGCAACTAAAATTATGAATAAAAAAGTGGTAATCAAGTTTAATAATAACTGACTATAATTCAATTGATAATAATACTATTCTAGATATTATTTCTATTAATACTACTAATGTATGCAAACCAATATCAGTGTTAGTTCCTCAGGAGGAAATTATATGTCTATGTGGCTAGCTTGTTATTCTGCTTGTTATCTTATACGTTGACTTTCCGAAAAAAAAGTAAGGAAGTTCGAGTCACATCGACACTCACATAGTTGCATGTACTAATGATTAATATCAATATGAAAGAAATACTAGGCTTGTAGTATTTAGATATTTGGTGAGATTCAAATTTGTTGAATTGGAAAGAGAGATCAGCAAGCTAATTTCAAATTCAGACTGAGTTCGTTTCTTTCACGTTCACACAAAAACTATTTGGAAAATAGGAATCTACGTCTTCTTCCCGCTTAGTTATAAGTTAAATAGAAGGGATTTCTGGGTATGCTAGCCTTGTTTGAATACCAGTTTAGAGATCATGAATCAATAATGAAAAACAACAATCTCCTGGGTAACCCGTGGGGATGCGTTGGCCCGTAAAAACGCACAATGAATTAAATTCTTAAGTCATGTAAATTTTAGTTTTCCGCAGATGGAGATAGCGTCTACTTTAAATACTAATGAAAAATTAGTAATGGAAAAATATTTTTTTTTTAAATTAGCTCTGTAATGTTGCCGAAGGTGGGGCAAACATCATGTGGGATGTCCTTTCTGAAGGAAGAAGAACGGTTTCTGTAAGAAAGAAAATACTGGTTGCCAAGTTCATGTTCTTCATCCTCGGCGCAATGAAAGAATGGCACTTTAAGCTTGGACATTAACGACGTAATTTCTTCAGAAGACAAGACTTAGCGAAGGAAAAGACACCAAAGTCTACGAAGTGAGAAGCAGTGTCTACATGAATAAACACAGACTACAGCAATTTGCAAACATGTCATACAAGAGTCGACACGGTCGCCTGCCCCTGGTAAATGGCAGACGATAGTGCCATAGACGTGCCAGAGAAAGGAATCACAGGAAGTGTGGGGGGGTTGTGGAAACTACGAGCAACAGTGGCGGCGAAGGTGGTGGTGGTGGGGGGGTTGAAGTAGGTCGCATCGTGTTTCCGGTGTTTAAAGATCTTGCGGAAAATGAAAAGAAAGTTAGAGGAGACGACCCATGTTTTTCTTGTGTTTCAGAAGCTGAAGGGCAGGGGTAAAGAAGAAGTGTGAAATCAACGCTGATAGCAGGTGAGGTAGTGTATGATGTTAAGGCTGGAGGGACAGAGATGTTTCAACAATTGTTCTAGTAACTGGAATTTGGATCAGAAATTTAAAAGGTTCTATAGGGGAGTATTCACTATTTTACGACCATGCAAGATATTTCTTTTGGTGTTAGATATTTTCTATTAACTAAGCTTATCAACTTTCAAATAAGACAGTAACAAAAAAACTTATTAAAAATGAAATTATATATATATATATATATATATATATATATATATATATATATATATATATATATATATATATATATATTAAGAATGAAATTATATATATATAATATAATTATATATATATAATTATTTGAATTAAATTGAATTAAAGTACCAACCTCTGTACCATCTTGAAGCGAAATTTTTGTAATAAGTAATTCTTGAAATTTACCTGTTTTTTTTTATAAGCATATTCATTATTAAAATTAAGATTACTATGGTAACGGCTAGAGCAATTATTTAAAAAAAGGGCGTAAGGGTTAATAATTTGTATCAATATCTCAGTTACATTCAAAGAGGTTAAGTCAGGGTAAGGTTGGGGTGTCTAAATTTAAAGTGGAAGATAACATCGTCTAGTCTGGTTAAACGTTAAGTGTCTATGGAGATTTATTTATTTTTTTTATTTTATTTTCTTTCCTGAAAGTGTTTTGTGTATATAAAACTATCATAATTAGCTAACATTTGTTTTTTTGACGACTTCATAAAGGGTTTTTTTTACATGATTGGGTAGGGCTTTTAAACTTTTTATTTGGACCATGGAGTTTAAAATTTGTATTATTTAATTGTTTGTTTGTTTTTTATGCTAATTATTCTATGCGAAAATTTGATGATGTTGGCAAAAAACCGTTAACTCATGTCTATTGTTTAATAAATTTTCATTATTTAGAAACTTGATAATGTGTAGTTTTTCATGTAGGCATAAGGAGCATGGGTCATCCCAAGTATTACAAGTTCTAGTTTTGTTTATAATTTTCCATTTTACTTTTGGTGTTTTATTCATTTCTTTCAAATGCCAAAAATATTTAGATAGGATGTCTGATTTCTATTATTAATATTGTTGAAGGAGCTTTTATGCTGTCTTTTATGCTGGTTTTATATTAATTCTTCGTAGATCCAATGTATATCATATTAGGGTTAGGACTCTCAATGGATGAGATAGTACATAGGTATACCACAGATTTTACGCAGCATATATTTTCCAATAGGCAGTCTTCAGGGTTTCTACAATCACATAATTTTTCACTATTTTTGTCTAATTTAAGTTTAGGATTATTATTAATACTATTCTGGCCTTCAGGATTTTATTATTGTGTTTTTTTTTTAATTATACATTCTAGATTTTCAGTGCAACCGTAACTTAATTAAAAAATTAAAAGTAATTAGTAAAGAATAAGACTTAGTAAAATTAGAATTCGAAAGAATAAGAAAGACTTAGTAAAATCTTTAATAAAAACACCCTTTATTTACTAAGTTTACTATTTGTAGGAAAGTGTTTTTCAATTAAGGCTATGAATTTATGTCCTAACTTAATACTAACCATTTGGTTGAACGGAGGGGTATACCAAATGATTTTTCTTTTCCTGTTTTTCTTCTGGTTAGTAAAATTGTCTCTATAATTGAAGTTAGCAATTTTGTATCCGCTATTTTTTTAGGGCTGCGTTATAAAAATTATTGATTGATGAGGGTTTATGCTTAATTATAGATGGATGGTGGTTTGACTTAGGGTGTACATGCACCCTCCATCCATAATTCCTACAAACAAACAAAAAAACAAACAATTAAATAATAAATACAAATTTTAAACTCCATAGTCTAAATAAAAAGTTTAAAAGCCCTACCCAATCATATAAAAAAAAAACCCTTTATGAAGTCGTCAAAAAAAACAAATGTTAGCTAATTATGATAGTTTTATATACACAAAACACTTTCAGGAAAGAAAATAAAATAAATAAATCTCCATAGACACTTAACCAGACAAGACGATGTCATCTTCCACTTTAAATTTAGACACCCCAACCTTACCCTGACTTAACCTCTTTGTATGTAACTGAGATATTGATACAAATTATTAACACTTACGCCCCTTTTTTTAAATATTTGATGTAGCCGTTACCATAGTAATCTTAATTTTAATAATGAATATGCTTATAAAAAACGCGTAAATTTCAAGAATTACTTATTACAAAAATTTCGCTTGAAGATGGAACAGAAATTGGTGCTTTAATTCAATTTAATTCAAATAATTATATTGAAGTTTTCGGCTCTTGTTTTGAAACATGAGAACTCTTATGTGGCGAAGGAATCATATTTTTAAATAAATAATTATATTTAGGCTCTACTTTTGTATTGCGCACTGTTTTTTTTTAAAATAATAACAAAAAGGCAAAGAACTTTGGATTATTTACCTAACGAGTTCTTTCCTATTTTCTATATATTTTCAAACACACACACACACACACACACACACACACACACACACACACATATATATATATATATATATATATATATATATATATATATATATAATCTCATCTGACTGTGGGATAGATAGGAATATATTGGGAACACAGATAGAGAGAGGGATAGAGAATATTTCCGGTATAGATAAGAATATATTTTTTAAAAAATAGAGTGGAAAAAAGAGATTGATATAGAGAAAATACTGAAATAGATAGATAGATAGATAGATAGATAGATAGATAGATAGATAGATATCGAGAGATAAAAACGTATCCATTGGATCGATATGTATATATTGAAAAAATAGATAGCAAGATAAGGAGGGAGATTAATATAGAGAAAATACTTATTTACCGAGAGTGGAAGAGAAAAAATTGGCATATTTGTATTTGTTAATTATAATATTGAAGTGAACGTGTTAACTTTTAGACCCGTGTAATCGTGTTCAAATCTCACCATTGTCGATTGTGGTTACTTCTTGATAACATGGCCCGGCGAAAATGACCTCATCATGCGGCACCACTGGCAAGTCCCTGAAACTTGCTAAATTGAAATAGCTTAAAATTATATAAATTGAAAAACAGTATTTATATGCTTTTCAAAGTTTTCATTATCTTTGGAGATAATTTGGAAATTCCAGTTTGAACTTCAATGATGAAATGTTTGCATTCTTCCATATATTTTTTATACTAACGTTTACCAAATCAAAGTCCCAAGAGCTACTCATGATAGTGGTTAAGTGAGGTGTGTGATATTGATGTAAAGAGAGGAAGTAAGAAGTGATGATTATGGGCATAAGAATGATAAGTAACGAATGAGCCTAGATTGTTGTGTTCGGAGAAACATCTTGACTGAGTAGAACATCCTTCTTATGAATGAAATATGCCGGCAATAACAGGGATTTCACACTGGGGAACTAAAGTGTGCGCGTTTGCCATAGAAATGGCAATAGATTAAGGACAGGCTTGCGACTTTGAGTTTGTGTTTAAAGGCCTGAAGGGTGGAAAATAAGTCACCACCCCACAATGTCGCATAAACGATTTTGAAATATGTGGTTACTGGAAAGTGAGAAGTTGTACAAAGGGCCAGCCATTTCCCAAACATCATTAGTGATAGATAGTATATATGTATTACGTTTGGGTCCTGAGATAAAATTGATTTCAAATAGGCGTTCAAAGCAAACAGCCTTGTTGAGGGTATTATCGTTCCTGCTAATTGGAGAAAATTGAACAATATTTTCTTCATCTTTGTTAATTAACACCCGATGTGTTCTTGAGGCGCCTTCATGAGAATGTTACCCTTTGTTTTATTTCTGTTTTTTTAAGCAAATAAAATACAAAATATAAGGAAAAATGAAAAAAAAAAGCCAAAAAAAAACAGACTATTAAGAAAAACTAAAGAATAAATTTTAAAAAAATGGCGCATCCACTCCTATCCGAGGATGCCCGTCTACTGGGCTGGGTAGCTAATCCCCATTTCAGACGCCTACTCAGGCACATTTGTTGTGTTTGTTCAACACCCACAGAACCAGACTGTGGTTTATACTGCAACTATGCTGAGCTGACCCTAGTAACAGTTTCTGGGAGAGGGCGCAATTATATAGCATGATCAACAGTCTGAACAAGGCCAGCACGCGTAAAAACTTTCGGCCACTATGACTTATGACTTCATGCTAAGCACAATCATCAACCTCTTCCAAAGGGTTTCGTTTAACCAATTTCACTCAAAAGGATTGAGTTTACCGTGGTATGGTTTTCAGGTACTTTTCGAAGGGATAGCCTCCTGATAATATCGAGAAGTCATGACAAATCGACCATAGCGAGATTCGAACCCGGGTCTCATGGTCACAAAGCGACCGTTTTAACCACTCGACCACGAATATATATAGCTCGATTTTACCCTATCGAGATAAAATAAGAATACGAAGTATATAATAATGAAATTCTTAATTTCAAAATCTTATATTTCGTCAGGCCAAAGAAACGCGTAGAAACAAGAAAACCGATGAATAATTTAGCATAATATATGGAACAATTACAGCAATTCGTCTTAATACTCAAACAATGCAAAAAGGTTGCAAAATCAAATGTACAATTTAAAAATCTCTCTGCTTATAAATAAAGGAAATATGAGCTTGAATAATGAATTAAAGTAAAAAAAATCTTTCACCGCAGGCAAAACTAACGGATAATCAATAGCACTTAAACAGCACCCGGTATTAATTGCAATCAAGTAAGAGAAATAATATTGATTTCTGAAAAAAAATATGCAAATTATTCACGTTAATGGTGTAGAACGTTTAATTTTCTGATAATAAATTTAATTAGCCTATAAGTGCACAATTCTTAAAAATGACGACCTTTTGCTCAAACTGAGAATATTTTAACAACTGTAGATATCTATGCATTGTCTTCTCTTTATCCAATTTCCGGATAAAAAATGATAACTTTAAATTGCCAGTATCGAATAAAATGGTTTGCTGTGTTGTTTTCGACATATGGTTAGTCTCTTGTATCAATTTTTGAAAGAATGTTTAGTGCTTTTGATTCGAATATAAGAGTATGAAGAGCGGCTTATCCCTAAAGAGATTACCATTTTCCCATAATAAATATTAGAGAAAGGTTTCTGAAAAAAAGATTTTATTCAATGTATCTAAAGAAATGTTACAATGCAAAAGTCAGTTTAGTAAATTAATTTTAATTGATAAACAATTTGCAAACCATTGAATTTTAACTTGGAAATAACTAAGAAAAAAACTCGATAAAACTAATATTTGAACATTCAGGCCAAGTGAGCACTCATTCTCACATTAGATTTGACAAACAGTTGAAGGTGTGCTGGATTAAAGAAATAATTCTTTAAAACAGCGATAAATGAAGTTAATTTCTAAATAGCATTAAGAAAAATCATTACTGTTAGATAAATGTGAATGAGCGATTCATTTAAACTAAGTTCGTAAAGGACCAAAAATAGTTCAGCACAAATAAATCGCGGTCAAACATGAATATTTGAGTCAATGCAATGTCATGGCTCATGATAAAATATGATGGTTGAATGCCTCGCTTTTCTTAATTAAACGATGGCGTAGCAGCAGCAGGACTAATAACTTCTGATTTATGGATACCAGCAAATAATTATTGTTATGGTCCAGGTTAGGACCAAGGAAGGACAACACGAACACAAGAGTAGAAATAACGAAGGTATATTACACGAAATAATAATACAAGATGTGAAAGGTCTGGTTTGGAGTGAACTAATATCGGTTCGACTCGATTCGGTATTCTAGCCCCCCCACGAGGGTTGCATGTGGCACAAGGCCGAGTTTACCGTGGGGTTCCGAGCCCGTAGGCTCGGCCAAAAAAGCCCGTAGAACCCGTATAAACGGGATCGGGTTGGTCAACCTCCCGAACGAGACTCTGCCCTTCGGTGGAGCCTCGTCCGGGTTCCTCTCTGCTCAGTGGCAGAAGAGTTCGACCGTCCAGCTTCTCGGCTTGATTCCGAGGAGGGTTGCATTCACAAGGCCACTTTAACGTGGGTTGATTCGGTATCGGCCAAAATAATACCCCACCAGGAGGGACTCTGCCCCTGCATATCCTGCACAAGGCCGAATTTAACTATCCAGCCGGCTTTCCTTGATTCGGTAGCCCGTAGGCTTGCAAACAAAATTTGCCTGAGCCCGTAGGCTCGGCCAAAATATGCCCGTAGAACCCGTATATACGGGATCGGGTTGGTCAACCTCCCCGAACGAGACTCTGCCCTTCGGTGGAGCCTCGTCCGGGTTCCTCTCTGCTCAGAGGCAGAGAGTTCGACTGTCCAGCCGAGAAGCTCGGATTGATCCGACCCTCTCTCTTGAGAGGCGTAGTATACATAGTGTTAGGAAGAGTTCATTCTGTAGTTATAGGTAAGGACCCATGCTAATTATCATGCTGTTGAATTTAGTGTCTCTAAAAATTCTAACATCAACTTCCTCTCATTCTCCAAAACCTTAAAAGAACCTCACTAAGACTACGCGGACGAAATATTTGCATCGATAGCAGCAATTTGCAGAGTAGGAACTCCTGTATTTGAGACTTGAAGGAAAGATATTTTTAGGTCGTGAATGTATCTTTATTCTTGGAACAACTTTTTCCTTGTGCCACGTGCGATACAGAACCAGTAGTGGATAAAGATGTACTAAATCAATCTGTAAAATGTGTGATAAGCGAACGACATTTGACATTTGTAATAGTTTCTGAATCATGGAAGAGAAACAACCAAATCATGATGACTTGTAGCAATTCTACGTTCTATAATAATCGTACGCTTCTTGTTTATTCATTTTTGAGAAACAAATCGTAACCTGTCACTTTTAATCCAACACACACCGCTTATTTATTTTTGTGAAAGTTCTTAGAAGTAAAATTCAATTATAATAAAATTATTCTGTACGAATGCGAAACGGATTTAAGGCAGAATCTAAAAACATATTACCGTCTTCTTTCATCATTTTAAAAATAATTTAAAAGATAGGTTTCAGAAAAAGATCATTTAATATGGCTCTTATTCTATTTAAAAACAAATTAGGCTGTGACAGTTATGCGGAAATGTAAAATTGAATATGGACAGATATAGGAGCGATTAAAAAATAAAACTTCTTGGGATGCAGAAAAAAACAGTGTTCCTGGCATCACAAAACAAGGATTATCTTTCAAAGCAATAAAGTTTTTACTCCAAAGTGAGTACAGCTAAAAAATGAGAGATTGTTTATTTCCGCTACGAAAATGGTTTCTTTGAATAATAATAATTTCGAATATTTTGAGTCTTTCCTTGCATTGAGTACAATATAGTATTTTTTTTATTATCTAATAATATTTGTCTTGATGTTGATAGTTGTATTTTCGATGTTTACGATGTGATGATCAATATGTAGTATTCGAATTGCACTAAGTTTCACGTCTGCCTTTTAGAGATTATGGTGCATGGCCGGCTAATGTAAGGCTTTTTTCTATTATTGATATTTGAGATAAAATTTCTTCAGGGGCATAAAATTTCATAAATAATATTGTTTTTAAATAGGGCGGATGTTTGAGATCCCGAGTTTGAGTTAGACGTCATGAAATTTTTACGGTAAATGATATGTTTATAGTATTTGGTAGGATCGTTAAATGCTAGGCACTGGCGAATGATATTTTTATCGGCCTTTTCATCATATTTCTAATTAAGGTGCATACGGTTATGATTACAAGTTATTGGAATGTTTATTTTTTTCTTATATAATGATGATTGCATCACCTATTA